TAAAACAACAAAAAAGATCGTGCAAGAACGGGACTTACAACGACTGAGGAGAATCATTACACGTAACAGAAATGCAATGCTTTAACAAATTGCTGAAGGTTGCAATTCTGGGTCATCAACAAGTGTCAGCGTGCGAACCTTTCAACGAGACATTATCGATACGGGGTTTCGGAGCCCTAGGCCCACTCGCGTACCCTTCATGGCTGCACCGCACAAAGCTTTACTGCTCGCCCGGGGCGTCAACACCGACATTGGACTGTTGATGACTGGAAACGCGTTGCCTGATCTGACGAGTCTTGTTTCACATTGCTTCGGGCGGTAGACGTGTACGAGTGTAGCGATGTCATGAATCCATTGTTCTTGCATGTCTACAGGGGACTGTTCAAGCAGGTGGAAGCTATGAAATGGGGCGTGTGCAGTTGGAGTGATATGAGACCCCTGATGCGTCTAGAGAAGACAGGTGACACGTACGTAAGCATCCTGGCTGATCACCTGCACCCATTCATGTCCATTGTGCATCCCGACGGACTAGGGCAATTCCAGAAGGACAATGCGACAGAATGGCTACAGAGTGGTTCCAGGAACACTCTCCTGAATTTAAACGCTTCCTCTGGCCACCAAAATACTCAATCATGAACATTATTGAGCATATCTGTGGTACCTTGCAATGTGCTGTTCAAAAGAGATCTCTACTCCCTCGTACTCTTACGAATTCATGGACAGTACTGCAGAATTCATGGTGTCAATTACCTCCAGCACTACTTCAGATATTAGACAAGTCCATGCCACGTTGTGTTACGATACTTCCACTCCCGGGGGCCCCTCACGATATTAAGCAGGTGTATCAATTTTTTGGCTCTTCGCTGTATAATCGTGCAAAGAACATTCTTGGCCACTAAATATAACTCAGTTTAAATTTACGATCACTGAGAAATCTGTCTCAAATACACGATTGTGATACTTTTGCATATAAAATACAGCCAAAAATGTAAAATTTTCTATTAAATGTTAGTGCATTCCAAAGGACATACCTTCCGGATTCTCGTCCATAGCGAACAATCAAGTTATCCTTAACAATTCAGTGGTACTGGCAAAAACACCAAGCAAGTCAAAGCAGGACTGAGGCACGACTGCGCGCGCGGCTGGAAAGCACTCACCAAACAACCCCCCCCCCCATTCTCCTGAGAAATGAATGTTGCACTTATGGGGACTGGTACAGTCCTGGCAAGCTTACAAGGAACCCGCCCACGTAGACTATCATTTTAAATACCGCTGGATTCTGAAAGTCAACCACTGTGCGCCATGGTCAGCTGCCTAATTGGCGTCGATCACAGCAGCTTGTGGCGTCGGCCATTGTGACTTAGGCCATAACGCTGAGACGAATTGTCGCGCGGTCACTGCTAGATCGCGATCCTAAACAAATACAAGAACATGTTTTTGAAGAAGTGTCTTAGAATATTTTGGATAGATCCGAAATCAAAGCATCTGTTCCCACCAGAAGACCGAGTCACCTCTTGAGTGACGGACGGACACAGGTTACTTGAATAACTTAGATTAAACACTAAGTCCGTGGACACTTGGTTAGCTGTGACGCTGTCATCCAACTGGGAACTTAAATGTCACGATAGTGACGTCACTATTTGACGTTCAAGCTCCCTTTTGGATAACAGCGGCACAGATACTTAATTGTCAACGGAATTGCGGATGTTTTAATCGAAATATACATGATGTGTAACAAAAAGTAAAAATTGTAAAACAAACATTAGTTTTAAAAGATGAAGTTCTTTAAACCTGGATACCATTACATGGAGTTAAGAAGAAACTAGTGGTGCTACAGACCGGCACAAACTTTTTCGTAGTTAAGTTTTCTCATTTCCTTGGTGAGCGCTAGCCTTTTACGGTCTTCCCCTATCCTCTTTCCGGCTGCTATCATTCGCCGCCCTCAATACATTTTTCAAAGTTTTCTCGATTTTTTTGATTTCCTAATGGTAGATTTGAAATATTACTTATAGAATATTACAAAAGAGTAAAACCTCGTCCTATAAGGCAATTTTCATTGATACATTTGAAGCAGTTTTTAAGAATGCGAAATTTGAAGCTCTTAATCACAGGAGTCTTTCGGGTTTTCGAATAGCTTAATCTGAAGTCATTTCAAGCACTTCCAAATATAATAATGTATACAAAAATGTGTATACAAAAATACTGAAAATAGGCATATTAAAGGTGTGACAAATATTTTAAAAAATACACTTGTGTACAACAAAATTAAATTGATGTCATCTTAATGGGTGCAAATTAACACTATTTGTACATGTATGAAGAAAAATTTTTGAGAAAATAGCGTTTGTGAAAATGCAGAATTTCGAACTTTTGAACTTATGAGTTATAGAGAAACTTTATAAGATATCATTTAAAGCATGTGTACTAGTAAATGGAAGAATGTGAACATATCGCCGCTAATGTAAATATTAACATGAGAGACAAGTCAAAAATATTACATTTTTGTAATTTTTAAAAAAATAAAACAATGGATCAATATGTCATCTCATGGGGTATTATTAGTACTATCCCAACCAAAAGTTAAAAGAAAAAAATTGGAGCCATTTTTGAGAAAATTTTGAAAATGTCTGAAGGACTTCATGTAAAGCACCCTCAAAGATTAATGTGTTTTTCAAAATCACAGAGCTTTGACTCAGGGCAGATCGACAGGGATTTATTAAGTATTGAAAAATCTTATAGTTTCAGCGCTAGTGTTGTTCACATACACCAGACGTACGGACGTTTTAAAAAAAACCCACTTTATCAGTATCAGGGGATCCCAAAACATGTATTTTCGGTCAAATCATTGATCACCCCGGCATTACATGACTTTCTCTATACTATGCATATTACTCTATATATACGTACGTATACGACAAAGTAAAAACTGACACATAGGATTGTAGAGAAATTTTTCAGAAAATTTTATTTTTATTATTTTAGTCAAATTTCCCACAAAAAACAAACATCATTTCCCAGAATCTCTTGGCTATGAGCTAAGAAATGCATGGAAATAAGTAACTGCTCTATTTGGGCAGATATCCTCTCATGTAAATCAATTCAAGAACTCCATGCTTGTCAGTTTCCAGCAACAGCTTAAATATTAAACAGACTAACAGTGCAGTTTCTTTGGTATTTGTTCCAAAAAGGAGTCACTCATTCTTCAAAATAAATTGGAAATCATATGTTAAATATTGTTTATTAAATCCAAGATGTAATGCATAAATTGACATTTTGCAGACTTCAGTGTTTCATTTCTAAGTGCATAAACATTCCTAAACAAACATTTGGAGTTCTATGATGAATACAATTCCTTTTGTAATAAGAATAGTACTTTTCATATAATTTTATAGGTTTGTATCTTCAAAATCAAGTAAATAAAAATCTCTTTTAGAAATAGTGTGCTTTATGAACTGTATATTTCATACAAAATGAAAGAATAAACTCTCAGTTCTTGACAGGAGCTCTTACTATGCTTTTTTAAGAACATGAACACAGCAACTACAATTACTAATGTTAGCAGAAGTTAAATACATGTTAAAAGTACTATTATTTATATGTGCATTTTTCTGCAAAGTACATTGCTATACAAACATTTCAATCAATCTCCAGGCAATTAACCATTCTGAAAGTGCCTGATTGAATATGAAAGTTAATTGCCATTTACACTACATTCTGAAAGAAGCATTTCTAAAACCTAATATTTGGTTTTGTTTACAAAGTGCATAAGTGAAGAGGTACCACTTTTAACAAGCTCACCAACCCCATTTATTATACAATTAAGGTAGGATTTTTCACTTGATTACTTGTCAAACATTAGATGTTCACTTTCATCATGATACATGATTTGTTGCAGTGAAAATGCAAATTTTGTTGACTTTTTGCGATTAGCTTTCATTTTTCAGGTGAATACATTGACATTAAAATATATCAAAGTGTTTAAAAGTATTTCAATTCTTGCTGAAACATTTGAAGCAGGTTTCAAGTAGGCTTTATGCTTGTCGATTATGCATGTGGATATCAAAAATACTTTGCAATCAGTCTACTAGTAATAGCTTATCTTACAATAAAATCATACATTTTCTGTCCTGGAAGTGCTATACAATGGAAGAATTTGTTCATTAAACATCAGTTTGTATGGTATCTTGCAGAGTTTGTGAAAGGCAGAAATAATATTTTGCTTTTGTTTCTATATAAACAAAGTACAATGACCAATGTTTCCATGTCCAATGTTCCACCAATCTTTCTGGAGCGTAAGTTTTTTCTTCCAATTAGAAATTCAAGGCAGCACATTGAACATTTTAACTTAGAAATTAAGAATATGAAATAGGGAATTCTTTTTATGCTTCCATAAAATCAAAATTGAATAAATGTAACACAAGTAGTAGAATAGATATGGACATTCAAAACTTTTTGGTGTCCTTTGATATGCTTTTCTACATGAAATAGGGTATTGCAATTAGACATTCAGTGGTCCAGCATTCCTTTCCCAGTAAGGAGCCACGAATCTGAGTCTGGAAAATGAGTCCATAGATTAGTCTGCAGATTTTTACATTTTGCCTGGAGTTTTATTTTAATAGTAAATAACTCTCATTTGACCGTGTTGATCTTGATAGATGAAATTGGTTTTGCTCCATCACATGTAATTTTTTCACAACATAAAAAATTATAAAAACACTTCTACTTTTGACTATACTACTCTTATTATAAAATATAATATATCAACAAAAATATCAATCGTAAATAATGTTATTATTAAGCATTATGATTATTTAATTCAATAAAATATTAATACACGTTTTTCCATCTGTATTTTAAAATTAAAGCTTTTAACATTTCTTTGTATAAAATGTTCTGCTTTATCTCTTTTTAGTGACCAGCAATAGTTTGGCAACACATTCACATTCCACGATTTCTGTTTTTCCATCTCCTTCATGTTTTGGTAAATAGCATTGACATAACTAAGACTTGTGTTTGTTTATTTGTGTGTGTGTGTGTGTGAGGGGGAGGGGATAATTTTCAAATGAGAGTGTGGGAAAAGTAGTTTAACATACATATATTTTTCCAGTTTTTTCAAAATCTGGAGCCTTGTGCTTCCTTAGTAAGTTTTTAATGATTTTCTAAAAACCCACCCATGCTTGTTTTTCAAAATTGATTTATTCAGTCAAAGAACAGTAAAAACTGTAGGTGACATATGGAAGAAGAATCTCTTCAAATGTTTTAACTATAAATAATTGAAAGATCTTGAGTTGTAACATACAAAAAACTAGACATATTTGTTCACAAGTTATAGAAAACCTATTTGCAGTAAACGAACTGCTATTTATTGTTTTTTATTGCTAACAAATTAATAACACACCCCCACTTCTGCTCCTACCTCTACAAGCAAAAGGAGAGCTCAACAAAACATGCATATAACGAAGCTACATTTATGTCCAGAAGCAAAAGAAGGTACCATCTCAGCATTTTCCCAATGGATCAGGTAAACTGGACAAAAACCTGATCAAGACACTGGTCATTGACCCGAAATATTTGTCAATAACTTTGTCCACCTACAGTACCTTTTGCCCACTTTTATATCTGTATTCCAGAACATATACCTTCTTTAATTTTAGAACCACATATTCCAGTAATTTTTTCATATAGTTTTTGTAATAGTTACAATCCTTCTTTAGAGATTTCACACATTGCTTTATTACACCTAATTTATAGGAGGTATCAACAATTTTTTGAGTTCACAATTCTAAGATGAAGTATATTATTTGTTTCTGGCATGAGGTTCTCGTTTTGCTTCCATGTTTTCTAGTCCAAAAGGCATGGTATACCTTTTAATAAAATTTGTTATGCTTTCTTTTTCTAACTACAAAATTCACACAAATATGACAAAATATGTTCGTGCTATTTTTTAACTTTCTAAAAGGCATATTCCTTGAAAAGAATCACATCTAATATAGCTTCTATTCAGAAATAATAACTGCTCACTAACTGAAAAATAATTGTATACACAACAGAAATCAACTCAAAAGCAAAAACAATATTATGTGCTACCATGATATTATTGCTGCCAAATATAACACTTTTGACTGAACTTCATATGTGTTGCATCCAAAAAGATTAACACATAAAAATTGTAACTGTGAAAACTGGCATGTGATGGAGAAAAGCAGTTGCATTTTTTAAATTAGGATGATTTAATTTGAAAGACATTTTTTGGAGAAAAACCAGCATTATGCATATCAATGTTATCTATCAAGTTCATTACAGATTCAGTAAAGGCAGGTTCTTTTACCAGTGAGTCTTATTAAATTGCAGACCCCAAAACTGAATTTGTTTGATAAAAATTTTCTTATAATATCGCACGGCAAAATTTCATTGTTACACTTAACAATTGGCACTGAGAGAACAGTCTTACAACACTAAAAATTTGCAGTTTTAAACATATAACTTGAGTTCACATCCACAGTAACATATACATATATATCAAATGTTCCCTTTTTTATATTTGTACATCACATGAGCAAAGAGCATACACACGGAATGTTGGATATGTATTTGAGAATATACAGAAACTTAAAGTCAAAAGAAGTTGAAATTACCAAAGGCACACAAAACACTCATTCATTTCAGCTGATTGTTCATGTTTATTAAATTTAACACTTGTAATATGAATTCTAGACAAAACTGTCTAATAATTTTTTGTAAACTTAAGATTGATTATTATTCTTTCAGAGGGTATCGTTATTAATATTTTGTACAATGTGCAAACAAGTTTGGCTTTGAAAAAATCCATACACACATTTGCATACAAAGGAACATGAAGTAGCATGTTTAAGTAACTTATTTATATATAGAAGAGTGGTATTTTCAAGGAAAATAACATTAATACACAAACACTACACTCAAGTGTTTACACATTCACAATTTGTATTAGTAATTAGTCATTAAGGATAACGATATCTGAAATCAGATTTTCTTAATTTGGAAATTATGCAATGAAATTAAAAACCTCTGTTGAACTTATGTGGATTATTTTACTTCACCTACTTAAATTTAAATTTGTAAGGTTCTCTAAGATGATACTTAAATTATGTTTTGTTTAAAAAATTCACAGTATTAAGAGAAGTGAACAATACAAGAAATAATTTTATTATTCTGATATTTACTGTAATTTCAAGATTACAAAATTCAGGAAATAATAAAAAATATATAATAACATTAGTGTGATTGTTTTTTAATACTACCTTTTTAGTTAGGCTTGTTAATATGTGTGATTACATGACAACAGACCACACTAAAGAATGATCAAGATATAACTTACTTACAAATATTTAACAGTTCTTTCAAATGAGTGATTTTATATAAGTTATAGGGTATTCTGTAGCAATGAAGCTTATGCACATAGCGTTATTTCCAACAAAGTGGTAGGAGGAACATCAAAACTCAACAAAACAAGGGATAGGATCTCTGGCAATTATAAAATTACTAACTACACATTTTGCCATGTTGCAATTACTAATATGGAAGACGTTTCCTCTTATGAATGCATGACAAACTCTACTTATATGAAAATGCTTTTCCAAACTCTGCAATTGATTTTGATGAACGACACAACCTATATTAAACAAAATGTTTAAAAGCATACATCATATATTTTGCAATTTATATATTAGCAATAAGTACTGAGAAACAATTTCACCAAATACAATATTTCTTTGGCTTTGAATACAATAACTTAATATCACAGCAAATCAAACTACAAGCCAATATTTTTTTCTAAGAGAGTAGTGATAAGAGATGTCACACTATTTGGTTTATTTATGCACATTTACAATATCACTTCACAGTTTGAGACTGAAAAACTTCATGGCTAATTCTAACACAGCGAAGAATGTGCTGTGTTTTCAAAAGTGTAAGATTCTAACATTCCTACTTTTCTCCAGTTCCCATCTAAATAATTCAAGGGCCACTATTATTTGCTTATTTCACCCTTAAGGATGCAAACACAGGAAGATAAAATCAAACAATTTAGAAAATGTGGCAAATAAAGTAAAAATAGGCCCTGCTCTTTTGAGTTATATCTTTCGGCAGTTGCATGCACCATGGTGTTAAAATTGTACATTCACGACATAAAAATAATTATTTTTACAGTGTCTATAAGAACACAGTTCTGCTGTTCAACTGCCACATTTCTGTTTGTCCCCTTTGCCTTCATGACGTAACAGTACAATAGAAGAATTCAGTCCCATACAAGCTCAAAAATATGAATAAAATATATCTTCAAATATCATAAGGGTAAGTTTTCAACAATAATATAATGACTAGTGTCTCTGACAAGTAATCTCCTTAGCACAAGTTTCAATATTAGATCTTTAAAAAAAAAACTTAACAAAAATATTGTGTTTGTACTCTTACACATTATTTTAAATTTAAAAAAAAATGTGAATTGAGCTGGAATATTATAAATTATTTATAAAAATCATAAAAAATATGTGCTAAATATTACACATCACATTTGTTTATTGCTAGAAGTATGGTTCTCAGTGATTAGATGGTAACATCAAGAGAGTGGGGAGGAAAAGTGTCTTTGGGAAGTTAATGCAGAAATGTAAACCCTGCATTCTTTGATTATTTCCTTCTCTGGAAAATGTTTTAATGGGTGTTTATATTGTTGCTTGAGATGGTTTCTTTCTTTAGCAAATTTATGGCCATCCAAAGTTTATTCCAGTTAACTGATAGAAACGAGCATTGAATGGACGATAGAACTCTCGCAGCCGTTGAACGGCTACCGGATCAATATGTGGATGATTCCTTCCCTTTGTCTTGCCCAGACAATGGGGACTTGGATGACCTTCTGATTTCATCAAACAGGGAAAGCCCTTGGTGGAATTAAAATAGAAGTGCTTTTCAGTCACAACTCTTTTGAGGCCAAGAAAGTCCTGGAAAATAATGGAGATTATTAGAAATACATCATTATAGTACATACACTGAAAAATTTATTAATGAACTTTACGCAGGCAAAATGCAATAATTGCTTAATAATGACTAAAGTTTCAACACATTTATTTCCATATTCCACATATTTTTCTTCTATCAAATTCTAATGACACATATAACAGAAATTAACTGGAAATTTGTTGAAATGACAGAAATTGGTCACATTTTATGAGCTTGAAATGGAAACTTTGCAATGATTTTTCTCTCTCCGGAAAATTCAGTTTGTGAGATAGTGTTGTAAAAATCTAGCCATTGTTATGCAATATTTTTGAGGGATTTGAATGGGTTTCATAACATAATTACTACAGAATGGCATATTTTTCTATTCTGTTGAGCCTGAGCTAGCTGTTCATTTTTGTTATCATAAAATTTTCAATCAACTTTTAACCTTAAATAGTTGTTTCTTGTGTCATTACTTATAAGGTAGGACTCTATGAAATGAATCAAATAACGCTGATGTTCAAGTAAGTTCTACTGATATTTGTGTTTATTATTTCCTGTATTTAACTTTATCTGTATCCTTTATTGTTCTGTGGTATTTAACACCAAGTGATTTTTTAAACACTAACTAAACAAAAAAAATATTTTTTATCATTTTAAGCTCATTGTGGAAATTGTATTATTTGGAAGATAGATTTTCCGGGCTGGTAGGCTGTGGTCAAGTTGGCATTGTTGGGCCAACAATGCCAACTGGACCACGGCCTACCAGCCCGGAAAACCTATCTGTACCTGTGGAAAACCTAATTGTATTATTTGTTCACTAAATATGTTTACTTACAACTATTATTTAAAATATAATTCCAAAACCTTTTTGTAGCTTAAACACTGTAATTTTTGTTATTTGTTGTAATAAAATAAGCACGTTTCTGCCTAGCCCTGGGCCTAAAATTGTCTAGCTCCGGCACATGACACAATTCTCTGTCAGAAAAAGAGATTATGGAAGGATTAGAGTACAGATGTAATACACAAGGAACACACCATGCCACAAGCACAAATTGAAACCTTAGTGTCAAACTATATGGGCTCACCAGCCCCTGGATCCTGTGTTACAAGGCTGAAACATTAACCGAACTATTTGTAAATCTGTTACAGTTATTTTGTTTCTTTATTGATTCAGGTTTTTTTGTATAACAAAAAATAATACAAAAATTGTTTGTGAGGATACGAGATCCTGCGTGCAATCCTCAAACAACTGTACAAAACGATATAACATTCAAATAAAGTAACAAGTCATTTTTATACAAGAAATCATATACAAGAAAATAATAATAATAATAATAATAATAATAATAATAATAATAATAATAATAATAATAATAAAATAACAAATTCAGAGTATACAGAATATAAAAAATTAATGCTGTCATAACTACCGAATATTTATTAACATAATTTTATGAAGATCGAGTACATGCCTTAATTACATCATTATCAAGTTTAATGAGCCTAAATCTCAATAGTTTCAAAAATTAAGGAATGGTAGAATCACAATTTTTCAAATCAGAACTTACTGTCGCTGTAATGCTGAAGGACTTCAATAGACATGGAAGACGCTGAAAAAAATTTTGAATTTTTGCAATTTTCAAAAAATCAGTTTTTAACCAACATGAGACCTGCGGCATTTTTCTTAAAAGCCCTTCTGACTATCAAACAACAAAATTTAATCAAAATCGATGGCGCTATTGTTTTTAAATTTTATTTAAAAATATTCCAATGAGTTTCATGTAAAGTACCCCCCAAAGTATAAATTTTGCAACTGGATTTAACCACTTTATCATTATAAGGGCCCTGTAATAAGTGTTTGCCAAAAATTTGCTGTTTTTTCACGCAGCTTTACATACCTTTTCTCTTTTTAAGACGTTCCTTCTTAAGCGTGAGAAAGTACAAAAATTGATAAAGATTACCTGTACTCGAGCAATTTCAGCTGCTGGATCAACAATGAGTCTTTCTCCACTCACGAAGAGAAGCTGATTCAGTGAAAAGCATTGCAGCCAGCGTTCCAAATGTCTTGCATAAACACCTATTTTGACAGGACCCCAGGATGTGTCAACTAACCCTGATCCGCTACTTCCATTTAGAAAAGCCAATTCTTCAAATCGACGCATTCCTGGTTTTTTGCTGAAAATAAAGATTTGGTCATATTTTGTACATACTTCTAAGTAATTCAAATAGGAAAAGAGGTGAAATCAAGAATTGACATTATTTCTGTCCAAATTAATAATTCTCTAAGAGTACTATTCCACTATTATGACATTGTGCTCTTACTACTTATTTAAATTATTGCCTTAATTACATAAAATAAATGACCAAATGTAATTTTATATGAACTTCACATCCAAATAATAACACACAATAATTTCCAACTTTCCCACAATTTCCCCGTGTGTATGAATTACAACAGCTAAAATGAAAAAAACATTGTCACTTGTTTCTAATTCACACATGGTACCACGAATGTTTTTTGATTACTGATTCTATTTCCAGGAAGGTATCAGTAATTAATGACTAATTTAATCAACAAAAGTAATGAAAATTAAAAAGAATTTCATTGAATAATACAACAATCAGGTGGAAAAGCACCTTCTAGTTTCTACCCACAGTTAAATGATATATGGTTGGTTGATTGATTAATGTGGCAATATCCATGCCCTGCTGGATGGTGAGCCATGGTGCCAACCTACATGTCAGCTTCCAGACTTTTTCTCCCTAAAGGGCACTGCCCCAGCCAGGAGAAGCCCTCCACTCCCAACTCGTCTCCTATCATGTGTGCATATAATTAATACACAGTGCAAGTAAGAGGAAAGAAAGATCGTGCATAGTTCCATACCCACTTATTAGGGTATTGCTCCAGCATTCCCACGGTCAGAGAAACCATGGAAAACTGCCAATCAGAGCAGCCGGACACCAAAATTCAGCGGCTAAATTAAATTTAGTTATGTAGCTAGTGTCGAAAATCCACCACAAACCCTAGGACCTCCTGGTCACAGCCACTGCACTGTCAGCAGCAATGCTGGCTCTAAGCTAAATTTACTCGATAAGTGATAATTGGAGAGGACTGATATTTGACACATGTAATTCTCTATGTAATTAGGTGATGTGTTCTACGTAGCTCCTTGTAATTTTGTTAAGGTCAGTTTGTGATCTGTGATAACAGTGTTAATATTATGTCAGCATGTGCTTAGTGTCATCTGCATACATAAAAATATTCCAGGATGTATCTTTTCTAATGTACTTAAAAATTTAAAGTTTAAAAGATTTAAAGAATAAGAAAAAGAAATAAAAAACTAATGCTGCTAAGCACTGGAGAATATTCGATATTCAATGAATAATTTTCACATACCTTGCAGCTTGAGTATAGTCAGATATGGCTCGAGTAACTGGATCACGAACAACAACCAAGAGTTTTGTGGCAGGATTCATTTGATGTACCCGTTGAGGTACTTCTCGGGTGACAAAATAGCTGGGAGTTTTTTCCATAGTCACCTGCCCTTCCAATGTGGGTGGCATGTGATGTCTCAAACAGAAAAAAACAACAACATACCTGTAGCTTTGAAATAACAAAGAAAAGAAAATGTAAACCAAAACAGTTACACCACTTCTGAAAACAAGTAGTAAAAAAATAAAAATAAATAAATTTAAAAAAAAAATAAAAAAAAAATAAAAAAAATACTGTCACCAAGAAAATCTTAAAATTATTGTATGATCATATTCAAGAGAGCAAAGAAACTTCAATTAATCAATTTCAACAAAATTGATATCAGAGCCATGTAAGTAAACCAAACCATGGTAATATTCCTTAGGGGAATGTCTCAAAATAATAATACTACCTTGGTAATTCAGAAAAAATATCTTACCTGTACCACTGTAGGCCTTTTGAATAAAATCGATCAAAGAAATGAACTTCAGATCCAGCAGCTCTGACATCAGGATGCAGACGTATGAACTCCAAAAGTGCTCGAGTTCCGCCCTTTTTGACACCAATTATCAGAGTATCTGGAAATTTTCGGGTAGGCCGTAGTCCTTGTTGACGAAGAAATCTGTACTTGGGGGCTCCGTCAACAGGTTTTTCAGATTCGTTAGAAAACTGCAAAATCAATGTTCATAAAAACAAATTATTACAAAAATAAGATGTTTCTTCTATAACTTAAAATTATTTTTTTTATAAACATACAACCTAAAAACGTGGGCACTTCGAAATCGTACCTTCCAATCTGACTCGAAGACTCCACCCCAAGTAAGAGGTACGAAACGTACCACTGTCTGTTTTCCTGGTTCTTGAAAAGCATCCTTTGGTTCACTTCGAAATGTTTTTGGGGATGGAGTAATCAAAGATAAAAAACGACTGCGTTGCTGAAAAATTAGAAAAGATCTATTTAAGGGCAAAATACAACAGGAAAATGAAGTATTCTTAGCCGCTACAACAGCCGAAGGTACACATTACCTGCCGAAACGTGCGGTTTAAATTCGAAAGAAGACAAAAATTAAAGGTGTAAGATAGGTACAGAACGCTTACACATAACCCCACGGTTATAGCAAAAGATTTCTTATTAATACGCCAAGAAAAATCCAAGTTCCGCCTCGACATCCCTCTTCAACCACTGACCTCATCATCTATTACTTGAAGTGCATCGCGTAATCCAACCCAGAGGATTGTAAAAAGTGTCATGAGTAAAATGTGCATTCTAACATATTTAATAGTCAACGCACGACACGCACAACTACTTAACCACCCACACCACACTTGCGCATGCTACTTGCGCAGGACAAACGACGCGCCGGCCGCGCCTCCCAACAGGCACGCCTACTCCGCCTACTATTCCTTCGCGAACTTGTCTTCGCCACTTCGCTTCCCTCGTGTCTTGCGCCTACGCCTAAAACTCTCCAAACAAACCCGTCTTTTACTAATATTATACAATTTCGAATGATTTAGCTTTCATATTATCATCAATAAAATACATAGAAAGTGAGAAATGAACTGTACTAACATTTTTATATAAACAATAAAAATCAAACATCTTAGATTGAGTTTAAGTGTGCAATCGTGATGTTCGGGTTTAATCAAGTCTAGCGTTCCAAATAAAATATTTCGCTGCTGGTTGTCAAACAAGTGTATAATACAAGGGGGGCACTGGAAAGCACCCTTCATGGATAAACAACCCTGCTTCGTTTGTTGAAGGGTGTTGAAACAAGTTCAAACTTCAAACGGCTTCGAATATGTAGCCGAAACTCGTTGTGGAGCAGTGTTATGTGTTTTAATCGGAACTATGGATCATAGTAAGTTCGTGCAATATTTTCCATTTTAATTAGTTGAATAGAGTTTGTATTTACAAACATTGAACACGTTTTATTTTCTTACGAAATTCTGTTTCTCCGAAGTTAATACAAGCATTTGGAACAGTAGGCATTCATTTATTACCGATGTAAAGTTTGTTTAACGTTTTGCCATATGAAATTTTCCTTAATGTACATTTTTTTTTTCAGGTCCTGTGTATCCTGGCGTCGACCGATATGTTGTCGAGTATTGGAATGCAATATCTAATGCTATTGAGCAAATTCTTCGCAACAATCCAGGGGCTCGTGTGTCATTTGAACAAATGTACAGTATCGTATATAAGTGTGTATGTGATGGGTACGCAGAAAGAATGCACAACGACCTGTTAGCACAGTGTTCTAGGCACCTAGAAGAAGTGGATCGTTCACTTGAAACTTACAAACCCAGGACACCCCATCCATGTGTAAGAAGCATTTACTTGTGTTGTTACTTTTTGAATGTATTCAAAAATTTAAGCAAAGTGTTGGTGGGTTAATGTAAAAGCATTGTCAATGGATTGGAACGAAAGCATGGAGTTTGTGTTACAAATGGTAATGAGATATTGTAAAACTTTATACAATATAAACTTGGTTACATACAATTGATCTATAAAACAAAGCAAATTATAAGATGATACAAGAAAAGTATGACTGCTGAAAAAGTTCTCTCTTGCTAGGCAATTGAACCAACTGCTGCAAATTCAAAATTTTATCTTGACCTAAAGTTATGAGGCGTTAATTATTAGTTAAGTATTTATTATACCACATACATTTTCCACATGCATGTTACAATCATTTATTTAATTTTACTGTCTTAATAATTTTTTCAATTGAAAATATTACTTAGAAATGAAAACAAGAGAAAATTTGACTGTCATTAAAATATGTTGTTTTGCTATCAATGATTCATCCAAAAGAGCAGGAAGAATAATTAATGACATATATTTGTAATTTCTCTAAATTATCTGTATGTCGCATCATGAAATATTGTCATCATCAGTGTTAAAATGTGATTTTGAAGCAGTGTGATCATGTATTACATGAATTATAATGAAATTATGTGAATTTTTGATTGATTGTTTTCAGTTTAATTTGCATTGAAATTTTATTGTGCAGATTTTTCTGCTCGATTTGAATTAAAATCCTTCCAGAATAGATTGAGGAAATTGTCCTGCAATGCTTGGATTCTCTGCAAATATTTCTGCACAAATTAAATTATATTGAAAATAAGTTAACTACTCTTATTTATTGGCTTATTTATATTTTTTTTTAACTAGAAACATATAAACTGTTTATGGAGGTCACCTTCTTTGTGTTAGAGACAAGCAATATCCATCACTACTTGTTCACCCTTAGATTTATTAAAAGACGTTTTCAAGTCATAACCCGTTTGAGCCACATCTTGTTCAGACTTGGTAAACAAATAAGCATTGATTTACTGGAAACTGCGAAGTGATATTAAGCGACTATTGGCTTAAAGTAAAAAAAGAAAACCATACTACCAGCAGCTTCAATTAAATTAACTATGAAATAGATATTTGTGCAAAAGTAATCTCATTGTTCAGTAGTCATGTTAACAACTTGTTTGAATGGAAAATTGATGTTTTCTGTAGGAATTTGTTACTGTCATTTGAACATCAACCACATATTTATTTTATTTGAAATGTCTTATCATTTTACTCAACAGAACATATGTTCTCCGATGAATCTGTGGAAAGAAAGATTAGAGAGTAATGATTTTGTTGAAGTTGTTTTGCTAAATGCCTGATCTGTTTCCAATTGAATCAGTGGTAACTCATGAATCATTATTTTGCTTTTTAAGTGTATTTTTGCTTCCAGATAATACTTTTGATAGAAACAATAAACGGAAAACAGTAGATTATTCGTATGGGACCATTAAAAAAATGTTTGCAAAATTTAGCTTTTATACTCCCCTTCCTGACTTATGAAAGTTTCCATTTAAACCCTCTGTGATTGAGTTTAATAAACTTTATTAAGAATTTGGTAAAATTGTATTTACATGGAAAGGCAATTTTTCAAATTCAAATATGAGAGACATCTGATAAATGAGTTTGATATAAAAAAAAGTTTGATATAAATAAAATAATAAAGATTACAAAAATATTGTCAGAATATTAACTTTTATTAACATCCTTAGTCCCCTCCTCTTCGTTTGTCACAGCTAAGAGAAACCTCCAACTCCTAAAAACATTTTTTTAATGGCCCCTAATTATAGTTTTTAAAGAAAAATATATTCATGTATTAACTTCTATTCCTTCAAAAAAAGTGTTGTGGTCAAATTAAACACTCTTAATTGAATTGAGAGCGTCAAATGTCTGCTGCATTATTTAATTAGGATCATGCACTGAATATTTTCGCTGTCTTTGTATTTCTTCATATGCTTGTTAAAAATGAACTTCATTGAGAAAAAGAATGAAATTCTTCTCTCTTTGAGATAGAATTTTGCATTTCTTTGATTTTCTATTTTGATAAATCTCGTGGACATAATCTGAAATGTTATTACCTGAATTCCATGTAAGAAAATTGGAGTAAAAAAGGGAAATTCAAAGCTGAACTTAATTTTTCTTTTTGCGAAGAGAATCAAATCAAGAAAAACAAATTGTTTTACAAAGAGATTTTTAAAGTATGTTGTGTTCGATATTTTTTGTTTCTTTTTAGCCAGTGAAGTGACTGAATCTGACTGAATTTTATTGTCATGCAAAGTTGTCTCTGAGCTGTTGGCCTCATGTTAATTGCCTGTTGGGGTAGACAAGGGTTACCTACAATGCTTTCATTGAACACTTGAATTTCATTGAACATCACTTGATCAAATGAGGTAGTCAGTTGGTAAAAGATTTGTGTACATTTGTGGTATGAAAAATTATTTAGAGTACTTGCACTTTGTAACTGTATTGATTCTACATTCTGAAGATGGAAGTAATTGAGTATTTCTAATATAAATTCCTTGTTTCAAAATTACATTTTGTCATTTCAAGAGATTGGATGTTTGATAAAATTATTTTAGTTTGTGTTAAGAAACAGTTCACATAGGCATACAAGAATTTCTCTATAACTATTCTAATAAAAAAACAATGAGTTATGGTGTTTGACAGAGTTCCAAAGAAACCTCATTGTCCAATCTCTGTAATTTACAAAAAATCTGACTAAAATGAACTTTTGAAATAAAAAAAGATGTCTGATATTTACAGTTCTGTTTATTGTCTTGTGAAGTTATTGGGCGAATATAACCCATTTGAAAAGTACTGGGCTGCACACAATGTTTGAGGCATTATAGAAATTTGAAGTACCACTTAAAGTGGTAAGGATTGATACAATTGACCCTACTTCACTTCAAAGAATAATATATTCGAGGGGAAAATTATATGGGGAATTCACAACACAACTTTGCAACTGTAATTTTGGCCTCCTTTTCCATTAATTTTTTTTTGTTTACATATTACCTATATTTCTAGTAAATAAATAAAAATACTATAAAAATAATTAAATTGTAATTCAATGATATTAATAAATATGATTAATTTTATGCTGCATCATTTACATGGCTTGGAGAGCCTCTCCCCTATAATTCCCCAAATAGACAGGTTCAAGAAAAAGGGACATTATCAGGGATTGAACATACAGAATTCTGAATAGGAATTTAATACAATCTTTTCGTGGGAAGGCTATCACTTTCATTTTATTTAAGGAGATTTTTATGTCATAAGTTTACACTATTTTGTTTAATTCAATGCAATTTTCAGTTCATTATCTATCTACCAATATCATCTGATCATGTGCAAACAATTATTTTATTTGTGTGTTTGTTTTGTTGAGGTGTATCTCTGGTTTTATTTGTTTCTTCTACTCTTTGACGAGACTATTAGCATATGTGTTTATAAATGGTAGGCTATGGGCCTTATCGTTGTCTCTGTTTGTAATGATTCGTTTTATAATGGTCCTGTTGTGCATTGTTGTGGTGATTTTTTAATATGTTTAGGATGGTTGTATTCCTTTTATGATTTCTCATGGTATTGCTTCTTCATATAATTTCCCACTTTAGCTATGATTCTTCCCAAAATCTATAATTATATAGAGTATTGGCCTGTTTTCTGCTTTCCAAGTCCTTGTATAAAGATATTTCAAAGATAAAAATAAGACTCCAATAACTGAAATATATAATAAGAAAAAAAATGTATAGTTCTTTCAATATTGAAGTGTACTCAAAATTATGAAAAGAAAGAAAAGTGGCGAGATAACAACCGCAATATCTGTGCAGACCTGGAAATGTTCGGTTTTAGAGGATGGGATGAAGAGGATGAGATTGAGCAGAATTGAATGTTGTTATTGAAGAGACCAAACTGTATATATTGAAGCACCATAGAAGATGCAGAAGAAGAGGTAGAGTTCTATGAACATTTGTGACATTAAAGATATTGATAAGGTGTCTGTGATTAAGAAGCTAAGATGTCTGTTTGCTGCATTAATTAATAAGTTCAGATTGAAGAAAACCACTATTTTTTTATTTTGAAAATTTAATATTCAAACAAATTACAGGAAAATAATGTAATTTAACAATTATTGTTGGTGTTGTTAATTTTGCACATGCAGAAATTGGTTTCTGATGGTTGTGGAGGTGGTGGTGGTGGCGGTGGTGATGGGTGATCTGGAGTTGGTGATGGTGGACTACAGAGTTGTGACCAAACCATAAATCTTGGAAAATGTAATGGAACTTGAATAACAAGTCAGAAATATCTACATACAAGGTTGAGGATCTTGTGACTTATTATGTCTGGCAAAAATGATTATATTAAAAGAATTTTAAGAAGAGAACATGAAAAAACCTTTTCCCCATGTTCTTTTATTCTTTTTATATTTTTTTCTTTAGTGTTATTTCCAAGTTCCCTTTGCTATATAATTTCCATTTCCCTTTTTTCCAAAGATAATTGTTTGAAGCGACTGTAGTAGTGAATAATTAGTAACAATGTACCAAAAATATTACTCAATCACTAATAGCAAAGAAATTCCACAAACCTGCAGAATAAGTAATGTGAAGAAGATACACTCCAAATCTTCTGTAAAGCACTGTAATGATAAGTAAAGTATTGCAATGATTTCAATGAGCATTTCTATCCTTATATCATCTTGTGGGCTCAGCAGATGTCTACATCATCTTTTGAATTGATCATGGGGAATAGATATGATGAATGTTTCTTCTTTCTAACATAAGTCATGACAGTGTCTATGAATTTTATTATCTCTTCTTCCATTTTGCTAGTAGCTTCAGAGTGTGTTCACTTGATGTAACTCAGGTGTAAATGGATTCAACTCTGTGGTGCAAGTGAAACTTGCGCTCTCCTCCAAATTAAATCTAAAATGCATCCCCATTGCATATGAAACGGGAAAGTGATTTTCCATCATCAGTTTATATCCATTGTGGTATGGGATAATAGATAGATAAATACTTTATTGATCCAGCAGGTCATGACATAAGACATGAGACAAGTCAAATACAGCACAATACAAAACACAAAACAAAAATATTTACAAAGACAACCTATGCTTATATATACAATAATTGCATATCTAACGCACATATACATTATCCTTATATACATGCTCAATACAACCTTGCTTATATATACAACAATTACACATCTAAACAACACACTCCGCTCCAACATACATTCCTCACTAAATAGTCTTATAATTTAGAAATTCGTCTACAATGTACAAGTTATGACTGGACAAAAAAGAAAGCAGACCCTCTGGAATAAAAACAAAACTATTAATTAAATAGAAACACACTTCTTTAATTTTTTAAATATAAGAAAAGTTAGTACCATATTAAAACCAGTAAATAAAGTTAATAGAATATAAACAAGACTTAAAGTAATATTTGTTAGTTTTCTCATTTTAAATTTTTAATATAAATATTTTTAATATATTAATATTAAATTACATTTGTGACATGAACTCCAAAATAAGTTTTCGTAATAAAATGCGCTTTTATTTTAGAAGAAAATATATAAGATGATATGTGTGTGCTGTAGTTTAAATATCTTACTTTTAAGGAAAAAATGTAATAAATGTTGCTTCTCAAAAATGCACCATCCACGACAAATGCTTCCTACGTTACAGGTACATCCCTAAGTATCCATGGCTACATGATCAAAAAGTAAATGTTAATTCATCTCATGAGACATAGTCACAGATAACAATTTTATTGGTGCCTCTTTTACCTTGTATTTATTAATTAACTGTTTTGTTTGTGTGTTTAAGGAAAATGAGTCCCTGAAGATGGTGCTTTCATTCCATGAGGTGCTACAACTTTACTTAATTGCAGTGCAGCAAATTACACCAATATTTGCGTATATGGTATAGTACAATTCATTACTCAAAAAATTATGATTTTGTTGCTTTTTATATAATAAATCATAAGTCATAAGAACTTCACTAATTAAATAAGTCAAATGAAATAAAAGTGTTTTCAAACATATTTTCATACAGACTAGTCTCTCTGAATAAAGGTTTCTTTTCTTCTTTCAGAATAAATTTTATGTGGAAGGTTTGCTACAGACCTCCCTTCAAGGAGAATTGATGGAATTATTTCGGCAAAAGGTTGCTGATAATAGAATGGATGTCATAATGGGTAGGTTGAAATTTGTGAATGTGTGTTCTAAGAGGGGAGAGAGAACTATTTTGATTTTTATTGTACATGTTCTTATAAATACATTTTTATGTCGTACGTGGAGAAATAGTTCTAATTATTTCAGACAATCAACAGAGAAGAATTTATTTCCTGCCAACACTGTTATTCTTTTCCTTTTTCATTTATGCAACATTTTGAGGCTCTTGATTTGGCCTTAATATCAGGCATTCCAAATAGAATTACAATTAATTTCTTTGTATTGGCATAGTTTAATTCCTTCTTCACTCTTTTGCATTGAAGCCTGAAGATCAACTTGGTTAATTGTATTTGGAGCTCGCCATCCCCTCCTCAAGGGAAAAATATTTGACACCTGAAATATTTCTTTCATATTAATTTTCCTTGCTATTCTGCAATATAGAACTTTGTATACTACAGTATAGGCAGTAAAAGTAGTGGAGTTATTTCAACAATGTGATTTATTTATTTACAAAAACTTTCTAATTGACAAATCCAAAAATTTAGTCAAATGGTGCGACATAACTCAAATTTTCTGTCCTAAAATCTATGTTTGCTCTTCCTTTGGGATGTAGCCTGGCACACACATCAGAATTAAGGTCCCTTAGTGTTTTTCCAAAGAAGGAAAAGATTGGGGAAGGTAATCAGGGAATACATGCAATTTTGTACCCAAAAATTGAGATGAGTATTTGGATGGCAGATGAAACTATGTTACATGCAAAAGTCAGACTAAAAGCTATTAGGCTGAAAAAAATGTCAGGAGTAAGATCTACTAGGTTTCAAGGATCATTAAGATATTTTAATTTTTTGGAGTACTTTACCTGTAACCCCTGTGGTATTTTCAAACTTTTCTTGGACATGGATGCAATTTTTTTTTCTTTCACTTGTTTGCTTCAATAGAGAAGAAAGTGTATCTATCAAGATAGTGTGGTTGCAATTTTCATTAAAACCTTGGATTAAATTTTGGAAATTGCAAAAGTTTTAGAAATCGCAAAATTTTAAATATTTTTCAAACATGTCCTACACTTTCAGTATTAATGGCAAATATTTTTTCTCATTGCAATTTATCCCTTAATTTTAGATCTTTAAAGAATGGCATGCCCTTTTTTTTTTTTAATATGTGGGTATTGAGTAATACCACTAAGAGGAGAGAAAAAATATTTGGTACATTGTGCATTCCTACTATTTTTATTTTCGGAATATTGTATTTTACAGTTGATTGCATTGAACTTCTCACATAAAGTGATATATATCATTGGTGGTAGTAAATGTTTGTTAGTTTGTTTTTAAATACTTATGCATTACAACATGTTGTCAGATGACATTAAACAATTAACATTAGTATGCAAGTTTAAGTGCGAAGTAAAATATTTTCTGCTGCATTACTGTTTCTATACAGTTATAAACTATAATAAGCATCAAAAAAGAAAGTAATATTGATTTTAACAATGATGTTTGATGTATTATTTATCATTTGAGCAGTATGATTGTCAACAACCAGTAACAAGTATTGAACCTCAGTTTCAGGGTCAATGATCCCCCTGTGTTAAACAAGTTTTTTGCCGAATTCCCTGACCCTTGAGCAATTGCTAAGATGGCTTCCTATTTGGCTTCTGGACATAAATGTAAATTCACTATCTGTGCAAATTTTCTAGAGTTTAGTGGGGAATATACTTATTCAAATTAACATTCTCCATGTTCTTGCAGCAATAATTTGATTACTTTATAAGGGGCACTGTGATGGATAATAAACAAAATCTGTAGCTGATTTGCCTTTACAAATAGTTTTCATTACAAGGGAGATAATATTTTCTTATCAGTTTTTGACAAAAGCTTGTTTCCACCTGCTTTCATAAATGGGATTGTTTTTAGTTTAGGATAGTGACCCCAAAATTTAAGAAAATATGCACAGAATACTCTTCTCCTGTGTAGTACCTCACACAAATTTTTAACTATTTTTTTTTACGTTAAATAAATAATAAATAGGTAGCAATTCTAAAATTCTGGGTATTTTTTCTTAATTGCATGGCTTGTTCTTTCAGCTAATGTGGAAGAGTTGCTAAGCAAGCCTTTTGCTCTCCCACCAGCAACTGTGTCTTCCCTCTTTGCAAACCTCCATTGTGTTGGAAGGGGTGAGTATGGACGGCGATACCCCAATCTGTTCTCTCGCTATGTGCCTGGCGTTCTGCCTCCAATGAAAGAAAGTGATATTGAGGCACATATTAATGAGATGAAGGAGTTACAGTTTCGCCTCAGGAATGAAAGTGGAGATGCAGCACATGGAGGACAAGGTCAGAAAAGAAGGGGCGATGATGAGAATTACGGTCCTCCTGTTTGTGTTACTATTGGTCATCAGGCATCTCCAACACAATATAATTAGTACTAAGATGTAAAGGCATATTAAAAGTATGTATTTAATGGTCTGTAGGTCCAAAGATGTGATGTGTAATGACATTTTCCCTTTTATGCTTAAATTTTAGTTTGCAAACAAAATACAATTGGTATGACTTTTTTGTATGTAACTTGTTTATGTGAACAATTGCAGTGTCTTAATTATCAATTTTTGTAACTTAAATGTATGGTCTGTACAAAAATATATTTTTCATGCCGATATCAATATAAACAAGTTTTCAAAAAAAGAAATTTGTTGAAGTGGGTGTACTTTTTAAGTTTTGTCCTTATGCAGTACTGAAAATAAAAAAATATTATCATTCTTGAGTTTCCTGTGGTAACTTGGCATATAACTCATGGCTTAAAGTTTTTATGGATAATTTAATACATTACTGTACCCTTTCCTCTATTTTGCATTTGATTGATTTTGTAAGATATTTCAAACAGGAATTACTCTTTTGTTCTATCCCTACATTTGTTTTATTTTCAGTGAACATCAACAAATTGTCCATATTTTGTAAATAGATATTCTTTGAGTTTTTGTGAGAATCTTTACTTTTTCCTTCTGTATCTTCTTCATTTTTATGTTAATTTAGTCATATTAGATCATCCATCCTTAGACCTACTGGCCTGCAAAACGTAAATAGGCTAATATGCCAAATTTGGCTTGTGTAAAGGCTACTAGATCAGATTTATAAGTACAATCCTTTTTAAAACTATATTTAAGCAATAATGAAGCTTAAGACTTATTAAGCAACTATTATCCATGACCTGTACTGCCTCTCAAGTTTTAATTTTAGCCAAAAATTATTTTATTTACAACTTCAAATTTGTATGATTTGTACTGGAGATTTTACAATATAAGAATTACTATTGTATTATTTTTTAAGCTTATTGGTTTCAACCAGTGTGCAGCACATGTGCAGTTCATAAACATTTCAATATTTACATGTGGCATAATGTAATGTATTATGAATGTTTATTGGGTCAACCCCAATTTCTAAATTGACCTTTGACTTAGGTGTATTTATATTAAATGCATGTTATGAAATTGAGAGATTTACAAATTAAAACTGGGCAAAGTGTGTTAATAAATTTATATTTCATGAAATACATTATAAACTGTTTGTAAAGAAAAGATATAGATTGATGTTATTTGGATGAGAGATTGATTTTCATTGTCTATCGTAGAAAGGTGTTGGTGATATTTATCAGAATGCTATATTGTGATAACAAAAGAATAGTGATGATAATGTCATTGTTGATTATAATATTTTACAAACATAAATATTATTGACTCAGTTGAATGCACAGTTTTTGTCAGTTTCTTACAATCTTTTAGAAAATTACATGTTTGATTTGGTTACCTGTTAATTAGAACACAATAAAATTGCTGTGCCATTTCGTAGTTGAATTGATTGTAATGGCTGTAATATAGCTTATTTGTTTTGTTTTTGTATTTTATTATTTTTTTAAAATGAAAAACTACATGTAAACAAACAACCTTTTATAGTTTTTTGCCATTCTGCAACAGACTGAAAGGTGTGTAAGGTGTTGATCGTTTAGAAAACAAAAAGATATTAATTTTTTAGGAGAGTATGTTAGAAAACTTTATTATTACAATTAGAAATCAAGAAATATATTGAATTTTAATTTGTTGTTTTTTTTTTCTTCACTGGAACGTTTAGTTCATTACTTTGGTTGGCTTAAGCTTTATTAGTATACAAATACTAATAAATCTATACTGTACACTTAATGGACCAAAGAAATTGGTTCAAAATTGTCATTATTGGGTTCAAGAATTCCTTTTATAGTGTAAAAGTGTTTTCATTTTTTAAATTTTTGTCTACACAAAATGTTTAATTCTTTATATGTTATTTTGATTTAAAAGGAAATAATTTGTAGGCTGATTTGAGCTAAATGTCTGCATGCTTTTTTAACCTTCTTCTAAACATTTATCTTTTTGTAAGAAAGAACAGAAAAAAAGAAAAAGCTTTTTGGTTTTTCATTGTTTGCATGTTAAATTAGCTTGGAGTTTGTTCTTTGTGTTTTGTCAGGGCTGCCTTTCTTTTTCTTCCTGTTTAGCTTTGAGAAGAATATAATCTTACTTTATGAAAATATAAAGATATTATGTTTGGTCTAGTAGCCTCTTACAGTGAGTCTTATTTAAAATTTGGTGTCATTGTTCAGTGTTTGATTTTAGTTTTCATTCCATTGAAAAATGTATGCAGATTTTGTGAAGTTATTAAGATTTCATTGTTAAGTTGTAATTTAATAACTTGTTATGTATTACTTAAGAGTGGGAATCTGAAATTCTAGTGAATGCTAATGAGTGGTTGGAGGTGGTACTTGCATCTGTGAGTTGTCTGTGAGGATATGGATGATAGGATATGATGTATGCAAGTATCATCTGTCATGTTTCATGTTTATGAAATTTACTGAATGTTAATGTGTGTGCATAAAAAACTTATTTCTTTTCATATTATGTAAAAGTTACAAATTGTAGAATGCACATGTGCCATGAAATAATCTTACTAGTGATGTGATTTATATTTTTATTTGTTTACTCAAGACTGATTTTTAATGGAATGGCATAAATGTTGAGAAATAAAACATGGTAATCAGCATGAAAATCCTGTAGTAAAATGTTCTTAAAAACATGAAATAATAATGATAAAGATGAGAAGTTGCAGAAGTATTATTTTCTAAATGCTGGTTAAGATAAATTAATTGTAATAATGTGAATCTTCATTATTTTTAATTTTGGGGTACTTCTTTCATTTTGTAAGCAATCTCAACCACTTAATTCAATGAGGCATAAGTGAACGTTAAAGGAAAGGACAGTATTTCATCTGTTAAATTATAGACGAAGCATTTGGGGGAATTAGGTTGTAGAAGAACACTTTGATAATGGAATCATTCTGCAAATCAGCTTTCTACATTGTGTAGGCTTCACAATGTAGATGGAAGTAATAAATACTTAGTTTTTTGAAATGGTGTTCACCATAAGCATGTGCAAACTAAAGGAAAGGAAAAAGCCAATGCATTTACGGGCCACCTTTTGTATTTTATTTACATGTGTCACGGCCTGTGAATTTGTTTAAACTTAGCCATTGAGAGACTGCAACAGATGTCTAGTTCTACAAAACAAACCAATGGAATAATTAATTGTTCTTCAGACATATTTTCCTTAATTCCTTTTTCTTACAACTTATTGGATACATTAATTAAAATATACTATCAAAACATCTATAATCTGAAAAGTTTGTCAGATGTTTGTGATGTTCGGATATAATTCATGTTGATCTTGATCGGTGAGCCACTTGTACCATATAAAAAAATTATTGGAAAATATTCTGAAATAATTATATTTCTTTTTAACAAGTTAAAAAGAAATTTTGACAAACTACAATGTAATCAGTTAGTTTATAATATATTGGGAAATGAAACAAACTCAGTGACTTTCAAGTTTTAAAGTAGTTGTAATAAATTCTTAGTTTCGTAAGTCTGAATTCAATATACACCATTCCAAAAGTAAAATTTAAATAACTGAAAAGAGTGAAGTACACTCATTAGATGCAAATTTTGATTGCAAAAAATTAAAATAACTGTTTCTTGCTTTTGACATTAATATGTATATATTTTTTTAATATGTTAATACTGCACAAATGTTAACTTTTACAACTTTGAAAACTTCCACAATTTTTCATACCATATAATCCTGTTCAAAAGGAGAGATGTTTAAATACTTAAACACTAATACAGTGGCAATGTTGATAAATTAATGTGGTCATTTGTTTTCATCAGTGTGAGTTTTAAAATGTAGTAATGCATTCTGTATACTATTATTAGAGATTGTACATATTTACAAAAATGACAGTTTTGGCCACATTAAGTTCTTCGAATACTTTCATGACTATGGCCTACCTGGCTCCCCTAGGAGTACGCTTTTACTGATAATGTGCAAACAACATTCCGACTAAAAAGCTGATTTCCCTTTTGAATATTGATAATTGTAAATTATACGATAGGGCAATGGAGGAGACACGCATTATTTAACTATGTTCATGATGTTAATGAATGTTTTTTTCATTCTGGATAGTCTTCAGTTTGATTCAATTATTTGTACGTATCCTCAAATAATTGATATTGTATCTTATGAATACAGAAATATTTTGTTTTTATATATTCAATTGAGAAAAACATATATTTATATTGGTTGTATGTTGTGAAGGGTTAGAATAATGAATAACCTTGCAGATAGAAGTTTATAAACAAATTTACATTTTGGATCCTACTATTTCATAACTTAGACTTAGGGTGAATTTGTTTTTCATTTACTGCAGAACAGATTATTTGATTCACTGATTTGAATCTTTGCATATTTGTTAATCTTGAAACTCAAAATGTTTTGCTTGTTCTAATACATTTCCCTGTCATTAGAGATAGGTAATATTAATTATACTCGAGCAGGTTTCATGCATGCACAGTGAAAATTGATTACTTTTTTTTTTTAGATTTAGTTGTTGTTATAAATGAAAATTATCAAAATAAAAGAATTATCATGAACATCTGTTCCTTGCATTAGTTAATTTATCATGAATTTGCAAGTAATAGGTTAGATTGTATAAATTGTAACAACTGATAATTCCAGAAACACGTTTTTACTTTTCAATAAATATTTCCCGATGCTATATCATGACAAAAAAAAAATCATTAAGTAAATAACTACTCTTTTATATTTGTGAGAATTGTACCATTATATCAATGTTGGTTTCTGTGTTTGACACACTTTTTTTTATAAAGACAATGTTGATTGTGTTTCTTGCCTTTTTTGTGCTAAGACACTTCAAAAAAATATATATATATATATATATATATATATATATATAATGTAATTATACAAATAAGACTGTCTTCCCAATTGCAGAAACTATTGTTTCACCATTTTTATGATAGAAAGCAATTATTTTTTTATGTATTGCCATTTTGTTTCATGCTTGTGTGCCAAAAGTTATATTGTACAGAATATGGTGCTTTCTTCCTCCAACTTTATGACCCTTTCCACATATTGATATGTGATTCTATTATCAAGGGAAATTGACATTCTCAATGCTTTCCAAGCTGGAATATGCCAGTTAAATGAGTGGCCTTAAAAGTTGACTGATCAGCAATGATTATAGGATGGTGAACATTGGAATGCACAGACACTGAAATAGTGGCTAGACTATTGTATATAAATTTATTGGTGCTTCAATTATTTTCAAATTCAGTTGTGCTTGCATCATATTGTTACAGCTATGTACAATTAGTTCAGTATCAGAAATTGTTCACAATTACGACTTAAGTAGATGCTTAATTGTTTTACATTCAAAAGCAGAATTCTTTTAATGCCCACCCCCCAAATATTATACAAATCCTTATGCAAATAAATTTCTTTCTAAACCTACTCTTTCTATTTATTTTTATCTACACATTCTTACTACAGCATTTCAGGACAAAGGAAATGGAAGGCAGAAGGTCCTACTCCATCCTCAATTAGCAAACGCAAAGTTTATTTTCCAGATGGACATTACAAAATGAATTTAGAGCCAAACTAAGACATGGCAATGACATTGTCATTTCCTTTTACAGACTAGTTTGCAATGATTCTTGATCCTATTATAACGCACAGATGGCAGCATTTTGTTTAGTAATGCCTCCTCATGAATACCACTATAAAACAAGTGCATAACATATCTATTAAAATTACTTTATTTAAATGCTAATTTCCCATATAGTATAAAGAAATGTCAATGCCTTAAAAACTGTGTAGCAGTTCATATATTCAAAAAAACAATTATTAAAAAACATAGTTAAATAAAATTGGATCATTGTCACTTTTGTAACTTTTATTACACATGGCAACCAGACTTCTAAATTCACATACAATATAGTTTAAGATTTGCAAATATTGTTTTCCCCATGAGCTAGTGCAGTGAATGCACAATGAAACAGGACGTGACAGCTGCAGAGGAGATTCAAAGACACAGCTGCTGGAACAAAGAAATTTCGTTATCCATAATTCAACATGCAACAATAACCAATATAAATAATCTCTTCTCACCTGTACATAGCAAATACAGGTAAGAATTTCTCATGACTTTAGTTGCCACTTTTCTCCTTCGTATCCGATGCTGGTTCTTTGGATTTTTCCTCCTCCTTTGCAGTTGTAGAATCCTTGGATTTCACTTCTGGATCCTTCGCCTTTCCTTTCTCATCTTTATCAGCAACTATGTTCACAGCTACTTCCTCCTTACTAGCTTCATCAAAATTCTCTACAAGTTCTGGAACTTCATCATCTTCTTCAATACTTGCTTTTCCTCCAGCTGCACTGTTTGCAACACTGGCCAGACGTTTTAACTGAGTCAAGCCCTCAGGGCCCAACTGACTGAGAATGCCTGGTAGCATCTCTGTAATTTGCTTTGTTTCACCAAGACCGGTGATAGCAAATGTATTGGCAGCTAATGAGGCTTGGGCTTTCGGGTTATTGAAATGAATTACGGTACCATCGTCCTTAATCATATTAACTTCTTCAATTCCAGGGATAGTATTAACAGATAATTTCTTTAATGAACTCTGGAGTTTCTTATCATCTGTAGCTGCAGTTGCATGAACGACCTTCTTCTTCCTACGGGGTGTACCTTTCCCTCCAATCCGTACCTGTGCCTGGAGTTTCTTCAGCTTCTCCACATTCATTGTAGCGGAATAGACTTCTGCTTAACCACGATTAAAGACGGATTCTCGATATTGCACTTTCAGTAATATGTACGGATTCCAAACAACACAGCACCACGCATAAACACTAATTCAAAGATTTTCACACACGTGCTCGTTTACGAACCTCGACTCGTGAAGAAAATGGATGCCGGCAGTTCTACCAAGCTCAATACAATACCCAAGGTGCTAGGAGACGATAAGTTTCCAACTGCTTTACATTCTCAAGGCACAACCAAAACAGTCACTAAATAAAATATTAAAATAAATATAATTATTACATTCCAATGAAGTAATATACTTGTTGAGAATATTGTAATTGGTTATTATTTAAAATAGAATGCCTTACAGAGATGTCTCTCCTTATATTTATAATTGTATTTGAAATATTATTATTGGATCTCTGTTAGCATTTTCAATTAAAACAAAAGAAACGTTAATTGTTCATTGCGGTATTTGAAGGGAAATTCAAGACACTCCACAATAGGTTGGTACTACGAATTGAAATGGAAATGGAGGGGAAGGTTACTGGAATGAGAAGAGAAGTGGGGAGCGGAAAGAGGAGTTGCCAGGGGTGGCGCTCCGGGGTGTGTGTGTGTGTGTGGTGAGGAGAGAACGCCAGTGAGAAGCCTGGAGCAGCGCAGGATCCGTGCCTGTGCGCAACGGGTTGTAACGAAGGTGCTGTGTTGTGTGCGGTAGTGAGCAGTAGTTACAGCGTTTCGAAGTCGAAAAGTGAGGGCGTCAGATTTGTGTGGTGTGTATGGAAACTGGTGTGAACAGAAGTGCAAAAATGCGTGTGTTTATGTAGTGATTTAGAGGCATAGATGCATAAGCAACTGATGTAGTTGTTCGTAGTTCATGAAAATATGTTGCGTTATTTATGATGCCCGTTAAAAGTTAAGTTTCTTTAATCGTATGGAATCTCTGGAGAGGGTTATACTCTTATTAATCTATTATGTGTGAAGTTTTAACTTGTGATGCTTATTAGCAGTAGTATTTACATATCAACGATAAAATTGTGGTTTTGTAGTGATGAGTGTTTGTAAATATTCAACTCTGGAAGTGTCAAAACAACGGGTAGGTTTAGGCGATGAAGACTGTTTCTCCTGTCAGAGAGAGAAACAGCATGCCGTCAATGCTTATCCCCTCCGCCAACAGAAGCAATCGAGAAGTAAAATTAACCTTTCAACCTTTGACTTCGGATTCCAATGGAGAGCATACCTCTCGAGTCAAGGAAACATGTGATAGTGAATTAAATAATAACATACGGATGTGGAAAGAAAAACGTAACACCATGGGACATCCTGGCCATAACTTTTTTAAGCCTCTCGGTACTGTTAGTGAGAATTCCCGTAGTCAGAGTTTACCGAGCTGTCTTGAAAATGAGAAACAGCATGAACTCCTCGAAGAAAAATTACAAAAAGAAGAGTTTATTAACTCTCAGGAAAATGTCATTTGTGATTTGAAAGATGATGGTTCAGTATGTAATCAAGCATGGTTTAAAACATGGCCAGAGAGAGGATGTGACAAGATCATTAATGAGTGTATGGGAAAGACACAGACAAGTGCAAACACTTCTTCCAATCCTTGTCATGCCAATGTACCTCTTATGAATCCTCAGTGTTCACTGTCAAGCAATAAATCATTGAATGTTAATGAACAAAACAATCCACCACTTGCAATCAGCACTGCCCATGTAGTTAATGGTTGTAGTAATTATTCACATGTTTCATCATTGATACATAATCATTTAACTAGTGACTGTGATAATGCTGAGCAAAGTGTGGGTAAGCTACCAGATCTTATGCAAAATGAAGTAAAATGTTCTATTCCTTTGTCAGAGCTTCTGCAAAATATGCCACTTGCCTATAGTCCTCTAACAAGACAACTGCATATAATTAATCAAAATTATATTCCTAATTCTCAAAAATTTTCACAAAATGATTGTAAAGACGAAAATGATGGAACACATATGGCAGGAATTCAAGCAGTAAAAAAGAATGGTATGAAGCCTTTAGAAAATATTGTTGAAGAACAACTGGCTGCATTCAATTTTCATCAGAAACAAGATAGTGATCCATCTTACATTAATGTTTGTGATGATTCAGTGAGTCATGAATCTCCTCGAAGCACATTACAAAGAATAGGAGCTTATGACACTTCTCTCTCTCGTACTGATGCTAGCTCCTTTTCGAGTATAGTTTCAAGTTTAAGTGAATCGTCACCATCAACGAATGATGATATTTTACAAGGAAATGTAGTGGATTCAGATGTGATAAATTGTCCAACTGTGAATCCAGGTTTATGTTCCAAAGAAGATTGTGTGACTCGTTTTGAAGATACAGGTGCTAAGCCTAAACGAAGAGGGATTTCCAGCTTCTTCAGCAGGTATGACTAATGATTTAACTTGTGTAACTTTTGTACATGTGATTTTTTTGTTAATGGTTGTTTCTTTAGTGGGTTCTTACCATTGTATATAAACGGTTATGTTCGATGTATCATAAATTGAAACAAATTTTAGAACACTATTTCAGTTTTTCTGACCAAATTAAATTACTGCCTATAGTTTACTTCCCCAGCAAAATAAGCAACAAATGCTTTATTTGAAATTCCAGCTTGTAGATCACTATCATGTAAACAAAAATTTAAAAATATTTAATATTTGATCTAATATTGAGAAAAAAATAATAAGTTTATATGGATGTTTCATCTTATTTCCTATTAAACAAGAATAGGCTTCAAAATTTAATGAACTTCCCCCCCCTCTTCCATGTGCCTAAAGTTCTCAAAAGAGGAATTGTGTGAAGTGTCTTCGTAAACATAAAGCCAGATTTTCTGTTTGTTGTGGTGCTAAAATTTGCTTGTCTGATGATCCAGACTGGGTTAGTTATGTCTAGATGAATCTGTTGAGTTATTAGGAATAATATTTGTTTTGAAATAAAAGTATTTTTGATATAAAAAGCACATGAAACTTTGCATCAGAAAGGATGTTGGGTTAAACTTTTCTTTAATGTCAAAAAACACAAGCAACTAATTTGCTCATGTAAACAACCACAAGCAGAGCCGCTGAGCTCAAGTAATAAAGTTAAATCAAAAGTCATGTTGTTCCAATTCATTTATGAAAATAATTTTTGAGCTATGAAGAACCCGTTTCATTTCAGCCATACCTCTGGGCAGTTTTTCCCATTTATCCGTTTTGAAGTTTTGTTCATGTTCTCCTTCAGGATGAACTGAGTGAAGATTTTCAAATGTGAGGTTCATTACTTGTATAGTACAACATAATTGAACCAATGAAAAAAGTATGTCTGGGATCAAAAGAATGTTAGATATGTGACCAAAAAGGGAATAACACTCTTGGTATTGTGTACAGCAGGGCCAAAACGTTCAGTACCTGTCGTTTTCAGTGCTAAAGAGAGTAAAATTTGTTTAATATATAAAAAATTGCTTATTTCACGCTGTGATGTATGTAGAAATATGGACTAATGGAAGAATCAATTTCTTCCCTGAGAAGGTTGTGACACTGTAATCCGGTAGTTTTATTTTTATATATTTTGTATAAAAACGTAGTTGAGTGTCATTTTAGTCTTCCACTTTCTGAAAGAAAAGGGCATTAAATAAAAATATTAACTTATCTCACTACAAATGGTCCGAAACTGCCAATTGCTGAAGGACCCTGTAGTGTGTTGTCGGGTCGGACTGTGATGGCCCATTGGCAGCATTTTCATTCTCTGCTGCGTCAAGGACCTAGAGGTCCTTGGGTTCAAGATGACAGGTTTTCCACTCTTGCTAATACAATCAATCTCGGGGAGAATTCTAGTGACTTTGATAGTTTCCGTGATTTCTCCCGTCAATACCAGGAGATTGTCCGAGCAGTACCTTAACAAATGGGGCCACGGATCGCGCGTTCTATCCTTGCTCCCTCCACACACGCGCTCATATTCCTCAGTTGCATGCACTACGTAACCACACCAGTAGGATGTGTTTCTGGAAGTTATGCCGGCTGGAGCGGTATCCCGCTGGCGGAGTACATACAGTAGAATGGAAACCTCGTAAGCCGATATGTGTAATAGGTCGGCGCCCGCTCTACGTTCCAGCAGGGGAAGATCTCCTCCAGGGATATAACTTGCGCTACACTAATTCCCCTAGTAGTTGACGCGACCGAAAACGCTAAATAGCCATATGTATAGTCCGGTCCTGCCTGTTAGTATTTGTCATAAAACATAATTTTTTAGCTTTCTTCGAAAATATTTTTAGGAGAATATTGGGTCATATGAATAAAAATGAGCACTTGCTCAGGAGTACTTGCTCCTGAGCATAGGGAGTCTACTCCGCGGCACTGAGCAGAAGCTCCATTTCGTATGAATAAAAACTTCGTATGTCTCCGAAGAACTTATTCATGTCTCGCGAGCATTTGCTCGTCGTGAACAAGTGATAGTGCAGGCTAAGAGTTTTAAAAATTGGTTTCTTGAGCAACAAAGAGGTTACGTACGTTACGCGCGTCGCGCACATTTGTGCGGAATAAAGAGCAATGTTTTGTTGTCTCATTCTTTAAATACGAATGTGAATAGCAGTAACGAAAAACGGGCGCCAGAGGCCCAGCTAGTTTTTGCCGAAATACTAAGCGAATATAAAATTATTTTTGAAAAGAGCCAGCTTTCGGAAGTACGCTGTGTCCGAAATGAAACATTACAAAGTTTGAAAAAACAAGTACCCCGAAAAATTTCACGTAGAAAAGAGCGATGACCAATTAACATAGAAGATATGCAGTATGAAAACCCGCCTGAAAGCTTACGCCGATAAAAATCGTACCAACGATTCAATGTCCTTTTCGAATCGGCAAATATTCTAATAGTCTACATCACGAGAATTTCCCTTATCTTGAATTTTTTTAGTCCGCTGCATCTGCATATCAACACACGGTAAAAAATAGGTCAATTTTACCTTACTTTTCAAACGTGGATCTGCTACTAAGGTCCCTCCGAAATTTTGGAGCAAGTGCTCACTCTAGAGAGTAAACACTTTAACTTTATTCATACCAATTCTGAACATTTGCTCGCCAGTTGAGAGTACGCTCATAGATGGAGCAAGTGCTCAGAGACTGAGCAATTGCTCACCCACATTATTCATACGAAACTGAGTAGGATCTCCGAATCTCGGAGCAAAGAGTACTTGCTTACTTTTATTCATACCACCCATTTCATCCTTCCAACATTCCAGATGCCCTTTTGCCCCCTCTATAAATACTGTCGTTGTCTTGGGAATTATGAGTGGAACAGTGCGCGATCTACCGCCCAAGAGCTGCGATTTTTTTAAATAGGCGACAGTCGTGTATGGTAAATTCCAATTAACCGAATTACTAAAATTGGGATCGATCCGAGAAATATGAGAAAGTTCTAATGATTGGATAAAGCTTAGGAAGTAAGTTGTCAGGCATTCTCGCAGAAAAAAAACACATTAATATTAATGAAAATAAAATCTTACAAACAATGACACAAATTAAATTATTTTAGATTCACCCATAAAAAACCTTAATTCCGTCCGCAAATCAATAATATCCCAATTTGGACTTGTTGGGTAATTCGAATTTGTTTCTTTCGGACCACGAGAATAACCCTGTAGCGTTTGTGCTGTGGCACTGACGGCACCTTTGACATTCGTTTTGCTCTCATTTAAAGCACTTGGAGTTCAACTCCCCAGGTATACTAAGTTTACCACCACAGGTTTGGTGTAGAACAACCACATGAAGATGCTGACTCGAGATCAGACGCCAAATCACTTCTGGAGCTGGTAGCCAGAAGAAAACTCGCCTACTTTGTCAAATGAGTGTTCTTTTAGCCGAATTCATTCTATTGGTATGATGGAAAAAAAAATTGACACGACAACCTAAATCTAATTATTGACGGTATTATACAATACCTGTTAACCGAAAGTAAATAAAATTTCATGAATTGTCTAATTGAAACAGAGATAGAACTAGTCAAGTTCCAATCTCCTTAGTTAATTAACAGCAAAGATAATCGTTTTAACTAGTACCAGGCTCTTAAACGACAAAATTGTGTTAAATGGATTCAGTATAAAAATGTAATTGCGTCATTTCAGAGTTAATGCGGAATGCTAATTAGCGGTATTAATTAATTACCGGTTAGTGACACAATATACTTGCTCTTTGAACTCCAGTTTTTGAATGTTTGATGTGGAAAGTCTCTTGTGTTTATTAGTTTAAAAATATCAGAAATTCAGATGATGTTCAGTTTCTCTTGCTACTTTGCCATATACTTTATACAGAAAAATGCTGTAAAAATCGATGTAAAGATTTAGGGGAAAAGAAATAATCATTTTGTGTGTGTGTGTGTGTGTGTGG